TTGTTGTTCCTTAATTAATTGGTAAAATATTGTGGCCTTATTATTCTGGGTAATTTATTTAAGACAATAAAGCAGTTAGTCACTCCCTGGCAGCTGTACAAGGGGGCTAGCCAAGATGCCAGCCATTTCTTTGGTCTGCCAGCCGTTAAGTGTGTTCCAGGGATTTGCTGATGACTAACTGCCAACTGATTTACAAGGCGGGAAAGGCAGGACTTTGACTGGCGGCCACTGACTCAGAAGCATGACGGAATGTGCGCTGGCTGCAGGCCTCTCTGCCTGCACGTGGACCTTGCTGCCCAGAGAGAGGGGGCTTGATGCCGGCACAGCCTGTGCGCTACCTGTGGTGCCTTTGCCAGATGCCATCAGGATCGTTCTGACCCTCACTTTGGTTTAGCATCGACACCGCTAAGTAGCGTGTAAGTTGAAGATGTCTGTCCCTCTGCCTGCTGGTCCATGTGTCCATCTGCTCATCCTCCCATCCAGCCAGCCAATATCGGGTCTAAGTAATCACTGAATGGGTTGGGATTAACGTCTAAAAGCATTGTTTATAATTTGGCAATCTCTTTCTATAAAGCAGCGGTTCTCAACCTGTGGGTCGCAACCCACAGGAACCGTGTTAAAGGGCCGCGGCATTAGGAAGGTTGAGAACCACTGCAGAGGAACAGATAATACATATTTTGCATTTGCAGGCTGTACTGGCTCTGCTGCAACACTCAGCTCTGCTGTTGTAGGGCGAGACAGCCCTGGGACGTATCTAAGTGAGCGGTGCGCCGGGCCCACTGAGCTGGTGCTCATGCAGCAGTAGGCTCCCTACCCTGGCTCAGACAGCGGACGTATCTGGTGATACACAAAAACTTATAAGCATGAAATCCTTTTTTTCTAACACTGCTTTGTCTGAGGATTGTTAGCTTAATTATCTTCTTTTTTGAAATTTAACTACAAAAGTAATTTTATAAATTTTTACCCTTTTTGTTTTCGTTTTCTTTTTGAAATGACAACATTGAGTTTCTGGATCCAGCCTAGTTTAATTGCCTGAACATGTTTTATTTTATTTTTTTTCAGATTAATATGAGTGTACAAATGATTAGGTTACAGTGCTTGCATTTGTTAGGTAAGGTCCCTGTTGTGGCTGTGTCCCACCCCCAGGAGGTGTGCTGTGTCCCCTCAGGCTGTGCCCAGTAGGTGGGAGCTCACCAGTCCCCTCCCACACGGTCTCTCCGTCTCCCCCTCAACTTGAATCAAGTTGAGTTTTTCTGTCTTGTGGGTGTGTATTTGTTCATGTGCTGGTTTCATGTTAGTTTTGAGTCCATTGAAGACTTGCTTCTCCATTCTTGTGATGCTTTACTAAGAAGAATGTCTCACTTCCTTCCAGGTTAATACAAAAGATGTAAAGTCTCCATCTTTTGGTGGCTTAATAGTATTCCATGGTGTATATATATCACAGCTTGTTAATCCATTCATGGGTTGGTGGGCACCTGGGTTGTTTCCAAATTTTCTTTTTTATTTAAACATCTTAATTTCTTTTTTTCCTTTCACAAATACCAGCCCTTTCTGCACTAAAGTTAGAAATGTCATCACATGGCACACTCTGGGAAAATTACTTCTGAAATTAAGTTTTCAACTTTTCTTTTAGGAATTGTGTTTTTTGGTGGTTGTTGTTGAGACAGAGTCCCACCCTATGCCCTGAGCAGAGTACAATGCATAGCACTGCATTCATAGCTCACTGCAACCTCAGACTTGGGCTGTGGGCATCCCACTATTTCAGCCTCCAGAAGCTACTGGGATTACAGGTGCTCACCGCAGTGCCCAGTTGGGTTTTTCACTTTTTATGAGTTGGGGTCTCACTCTCACTTAGGTGAGTCTTGAACTCTTGAGCTCAAGCAATTCTCCCTCCTCAGCCTCTCACAGTGCTGGGATTATAGGCGTGAGCCACCGTGCCTGGCAGGAATTGTTTATAAACAACCATCAGGCCAGAAAATGTTTCCATGTTTTATCAGGGGAATTAAAAAGGCACACTGAAGGTAGAATTTTGAGGAAAAGATAATGAGGAAAGAAATATTAGGATTATTGGCTTAACCTCTAACATTGAGGCCCCTGGGCTACAGATTAGAACCACCTGGAAAGCTTTAAAACTTTCTAATGCTCTGTCCCCATTCCTGAATAATTACGTTGGAATCTTGAGGGTAGGACCCTGGCATCAGTACTTTTAATTTTTATTTATTTATTTGAAGTGCCTGATTCTTTTTTTTTTTTTTTAAAATTAATTCTTTTGTTGTTGAGGATTCATTCAGGGTACAGAGAACCAGGTTACACTGATTGCATTTGTTAGTGATTTGTTAGGTAAAGTCCCTCTTATAATTGTGTCCTGCCTCCAAGAGGTGTGTCACACACTGTGACCCCCCACCCCCTCCCTCCTTCTTTCTCTCTGCTCCCCCCTTCCACTACCCCCCCACCATGTACTGGGCCATCAATTGTCCTCGTATCAGAATTGAGTACATTAGATTCTTGCTTCTCCATTCTTGTGATGCTTTACTAAGAAGAATATGTTTCAGCTTCATCCAAGTTAATACAAAAGATGTAAAGTCTCCATCTTTTTAAGTGGTTGAATAGTATTTCATAGTATACATATACCACAGCTTGTTAATCCATTCCTGGGTTGGTGGGCATTTAGGTTGTTTCTACAATTTGGCAATTGTAAATTGAGCTGCAATAAATAGTCCAGTGCAAATGTCCTTAAAATGATTTTCTTTCTTTTGGGTAGATGCCCAGTAATGGGATTGCAGGATCAAATAGGAGGTCTACTTTGAGTTCTTTGAGGATTCTCCATACTTCCTTCCAAAAAGCTTGTATTAGTTTGCAGTCCCACCAGCAGTGTAAAAGTGTTGGGATATGAGCATTTTTTCGTTTGTTAGCCATTCATCTGTCTTCTTTAGAGAAGGTTTTTTTTTTTTTTCTTCCTTCCCATTTCTCTTATCCAGTGATCTGAGGGCTTTTTTAATGCTGTTTAATTTGAGTTCTTGGTAGATCCTAGTTATCAAGCTTTTGTCGGATTCATAATATGCAAATATCTTTTTCTATTCTGATGGTTGTCTATTTGCTTTGGTTCTTGTCTCCTTAGCTGTACAGAAGCTATTCAATTTATTTAAGTCCTGTTTATTTTTGTTGTTGTTGCAATTGTGTCTGAAGTCGTCTTCACAAACTCTTTCCCCAGTCTGATAATTTTAAGTGTTTTATCCATAGTTTCTTCAAGGAATTTTATTTCATGCTTCAGGCTTAGCTCTTTTATCCATCTTGAATCAATTTTAGTGAGTGGAAAAGGTGCGGGTTCAGTTTCAGTTTCAGTCTTTCACATGTATGTGGTTATCCAGTTCTCCCAGCACCATTTATTGAATAGAGATTCTTTCTCTATTATCCAGTTCTCCCAGCACCATTTATTGAATAAAGATTCTTTCCCCCAGTGTATGTTCTTGTTTGGTTTATCAAAGATTAGGTGGCTATAAGATGTTAGTTTCATTTCATGGTTTTCGATTTGCTTCTAGATGTCTATGTCTCTGTTTTTGTGCCAGTACCATGCCGTTTTGATCACTATGGACTTGTAGTACAGCCTAAAGTCTGGTAGGCTGATGTCCCTGGCTTTGTTTTTATTACTAAGAATTGCCTTGGCTATACGGGTTTTTTCTAGTTCCATACATAACAAAGAATTATTTTTTCCAAATCTTGAAAGTATGATGTTGGTATTTTAATGGGGATTGCATTGAATCTGTACATTGCTTTGGGAGGTTTCCAAATTTTCTTTTTTATTTAAACATATTAATAATTTAAAGAATATTCAGCTTTCTCTGCCATTGGATGTAGAAATGGCATTGGATTGGAAATACATAAAGAATACGAAATAAAATCCCCACTACCTCACTTCTAACAGCTATATTCAGTTCAGTAGTTTTAAATTACACATGTGCTTTTAAAACTGTATTTTGACATGGAAACAGGGTCAAGATATATTGCTAAGTAAAAAAAGGTAGATTGTAGAGAGGTTCACCAGAGTGATTCCATCTGTGAAAAGGAAAGGACTGAGGGGCCTGTGCACACGTACCCTGTAAATACCTCAAGAGTCACTGAAGCAGAGTGCTTAGTTTTCAGAGGACATCAAGTCTGTCCGATAGAAGCAGAAAAGATTAAAGGATAATCAATACCTCACAGATCTCTGGCGTTCTTGGGGGAGCTGATTCAGTTTACCTTTTGGGGACCTAAAGTATTCTGTTTTGAAGATTAAGGTGTGTCCCCTGTTGTGGTGGGTGATGTGCTCGTAGACACAAGGTGAAAAAACACACTTCACAGTGTGGCCTTTCGAGGTGTTTTTTCCCTGCTTTTCAAACCCTGTACATTTGCTACTTGATAGGAAACTGGTCTGAGAACTTAATTCTGTCCAATAAAGTTTTAACACATTTACTAATAATTTTGAAACCTTTTTAAAAAAATGTTTTAAGTTTTAGATTTACAGAAAAAGTGCAAAGATAATGCAGAAAGTTTTCGTATATCATACACCCATTATGCCCTGTTAGCATCTCATGTTAGTATGGTATAATTGTTGTGATTAATGAACAAATATTGATATATTCTTATTGACTAACGCCTATACGTTATTAAGATGTCCTGGTTTCTACCAGAAGTCTTTTTGTCTGTCCCAGGATGGCTGGTAATAAACTTGTTGTAGTAATGTCATGGAGCCATGTGAGAAATGCCATTGCTGTTTTAAATAAATAGGTAGAATTGGGCGGCACCTGTGGCTCAGAGGAGTAGGATGCTGGCCCCATATACTGGAGGTGGTGGGTTCAAGCCCAGCCCCAGCCAAACACTGCAAAAATAAATATATTAATAAAATAAATAAGTAGAATTTGGGAAAAAGCTAAAAGTTTACCACAGTGAAGTTCTTATATTCTTTTATGTACAAATGTTACACAAGGAAAATAACCTCTCATTTTTTCCTGTTGTATGTCTAGTGGAACAGGTTCCAGTAGAGCCGTACACCATCCCACTATCCCAGGCGGAAGTCATACAGGAAGGCAGTGACGTTACCCTAGTTGCCTGGGGCACGCAGGTCAGTGGCCTCAATTCCAGCTACTAAAGCCCATTTATGCCTGGAAACTCCCAGTTTTAATCCTGATATGTGAAGAATCAAAAACAGTGTTTGCTTTGGGTCTCGGGTCTGCTTGGTGTTACTGATGCTGGTCTTATTTTTTTTTTTTTTCTATATCCTGTTTTTTTATTAAAAAACCAAACAAACATTCTTCCATATACAAACTACACGCTCAGAGTGGAACATCCCTATTTTCATGGGCTAGAATGTCCTTCTCCAAAAGCTGCTTCTGGGATGAGTCCAGAGCAGCATCACAAGAGAGGCATGGATTCCGGGCCCTGATGCTGGTCTTTTTTTCTTCCCAACTTTATTGGGGTATGATTGGCAAATGAAAAGTGTATATATTCAAAGTGTACAACATGATTCGATATATGTGTGGTCAAAGGGTTGCCACAGTCTAACACATCCATCACCGCAGTTTCCATTTTGTGTGCGTGTGTGCCTGGTGAGGACCCCTGAGTCTGGTCTCTCTGGAGTGAACAGTATGGTGTTAGTGATAGTCACCATGCCGTAACCAGGTCGTCAGAGCTACTCGTAACTGAAAGCTTGTGACACTGATTCCTGAGTGAAGGTGAGATACTTGTTCAGTCATGTTAAAATATATAAGCATGTGTGAAGTCATTACAAATGTTCCGAAACAGCAAAGTTTTAGAGAAACGCATTTCCTGAAAGCGCTGTCTTTGGAGGCTCCTGCCGATGCCCTCGTTACTTTTGCTGCACCTGACCTGCGGTCTGCTCTTTCTTCCCGCTTCTTGCCATCTCTCATGATCACGTTGCTGGCCGTGCGGGCCCATCCCAACCTCAGAATTCCGGACCCTTCTCTTTGTAGGGCTTTCTCTCTACACACTCCAGCTTCCCCCAGGGCTTGTCACGTTGCTCTGTCTACAAACTTTAAACATCAGAGCACTTTTTTCTCTTGTCAGAGACTTCTCCCTCTTATAGTTTCTTTCTGTTTAAAGAAATGGAGAAATTCTTTCTTTTTTCTGTATAAATACTTGCCTATTTCAGAAAATCGCAGACAGCATCATATAAAGAAGATAACTAGGATCATTTGCACTTCACCAGCTCCTACTCTCTGCTGCACATGACTTTGGGCTTGGAGAGCTGCATTGCTCACCCCTCGTCCCCTGCAGTGGGTGGGGTGCTTCCTGGCCACTCTGTGGTCATCGTAGTGAACATTTTTATGCTCTCCTTCAGTCCTCTTTTTAATGCAGATCTCTGTCACCCTAGCATGTGGCTGTGTTCCCTTCTTGATGAGGTGGTTAGCGTATGGACACCAAGCCCCCTGACTTGCTCTCCTTCACACCTGCTACTTCCGCTGCTAATCTTATCCTTCTTCTCTTCATCTTTGAAGAAGAGGTGTCTGGTCTGCACGGTCTCTCTCCAGCTGAGATAATCTGCCCCTTCACCTTCTTCAGGCCTGTGACCCATTAGCTAGTCCCCAAAAATGCCTTTCTCCTGCACCACCATTACTTCCCTCCTTTCTTTTGCCACTTAACTCGAAGAACTGTTTATATTTACTGGTTATATCTAATATTGTCTATATTTAATTCCTTATGTTTGTATATATGAATTCTGTTTCTGTTAGTTTATTAAAACTGTTTTGTTAACACCATTCATCTTTGTATTGTTAAATGCAGCCCTCATTCCTTACTGCTATGTGGTAGGGGCTACTCTCTCTATGAAACCTGTTCTTCTTTAACTTCTGGAATACGCTCCCCCTTGGTATTCTTCATCTTTAATCCATTGTTCCTTTCTTCCTTCCCTCCCTCCTTCCTTCCCTCCCTCCCTCCCTCTCTCTTTCCTTCCTTCTTTCCCTCCCTCCCTCCTTCTCTCTCTCTTTTAAGTGAGCTCCTTTTCCTCCATTTTCCCTTAAATGTTGGGCTCCAGGATTTTTGCCCTTTGCATCTTCCTTTGCTTGTTTCCCCCAGAAACTCTGTCTGCTCCGGTCACTTACTGACCTCTGTACACTATCGCTGTCATCAGTATCTCCAGCGCTTTCTCTCCCTGTCTCTTAGAATCTCTTTCCAACTGTTTTCTAAACATCTGTCCTTGATGGTTTGGGCAGAATATGAGGTTCAACATGTTGAAAACAAATTTACAAATCCTCCCTGCAGATCACTTTCTCAACTGTGGGCCCTGTTTCTACTCATGATGTCATAGCTAGTTTTTGGAACGGAGCCTCTGTCATCACTCTCCGTGTCTCTCTCCTTGTGTCAGGTTCACGTGATCCGGGAGGTGGCTTCCATGGCAAAGGAAAAGCTTGGAGTGTCTTGTGAAGTCATTGACCTGAGGACCATAATACCTTGGGATGTGGACACTGTTTGTAAGGTATGAATATCATGTGGATAGAATGTCAATTCCTCAAAACTTTGGGCCAGATTTGTTGGATATTTGCCAGGAATTCTTTTGAAATTTTGAGCTGGATGAGCATTTTCAACTGATTTAAACCTTTCAGATTTGCAGCATGAACGGAATGAGGGTTATACAATCAGCTTAATACTCAAACAAATCACCTTTGAGTTTCTTTTTCCTCCTGTAGTTTCCTCTGTTTAAAATATTACAAAACCGTGTCCTTCATGCATTCCGTGGGGTTGCAATGTGTGAGAGAAGGAGCAGATTAGGGATGTGGGGGCACCTGTGTTTTTAATTTCTGAGTGGTTACTGGTCATGGTTTGATGAGCAAGGTTTAATTTAGGTAAATGGTTTGGCTGAATTCTCATTTCTCTCTTCCCCAAAAGTGATGGGATGGACCATTTTTAAAAAAATAACTCTTTACATAGCCTTAATAGTGTGGATCACAGCTTGAGTGTTAAATTGTGGGATTCTGGTGACTCTGATGTACAGCTTCTAAATAGCTCCTTGACCTTGGACCTGATTAGATTATTCTTGTTCTTTCTATTAACAATATTCACATAGTCATTTTCCTTTTAAGAATATAGTTTAATTTTCATTTTATTATCTATAACCAATACATTTTATATTAATGTCTAGATAATGTGTTCTCTCATTGGTGTATAAGGAAGTTTAAGCATTTTGTGGTCAACTTATCTACCAAGGTCTAGGGGGCAATGACCTGTATTGTTTTATCTTAATTTCTTGATAGCAAATAAGTTGTAAGACCTGGGTATTTAATATTTTTTATTATTACTTTTTAGAACTTTGGCATTCTTGTAGCTTTTACAGGCAGTTTCTGAGGTGGTTACATGACTGTAATCCGCAGACAATTCTGCTGTAAAAGTGTAGCTTATGGTGCTTTTAGGTGAAGATTGTTTTATAATTTAGTAGGAGAATTAAGATTTGTTATAGAAAAGATAGTTGAAGAGTCACTTGGCACCATCTAAACACCGGACATTGATACACCTGGCTCCAACAGGTGTCTGAAGCCCTTATATGTATTGAAGTTTCCATGATGAAGAAGAGCGTTTCAGGTGGACAGACAACATGACACTCATGCTTTCTGCACCATTTTCAAATCCAGTCAGATTCTGGGGTTTCTTCCCGGTAGCCAAATGTCCCAAATTATGGTTAAACCGGAGCTGGCTGCTTGTTTGCAGCATGTATCCCCCTTGTCCTGGGGGCTGTGTGTTTAGTGTGGCTGGTGATTCTGGATGGGGGCTGCGAAGTCTTGTCATGGCAGGGAGGTGAGGTGGTGGGGGGAGTGCGGGGGTGGACGCTGAGCATGTTAGGACTAGTGCTTTTAGAACTTTATTTATGTATTTGTATACCTTCAACATTCGAAAACGGGTTGTAGCAGCCTATGGTAACATAATATAACAATACCCAAGTGAACCATGAAAGCAGGGAGAGGAGAGGCTGGGGAAGACATGGTCTTTAGTTGCTTTGCCCCTTTTTGTTAAATCTCCTGGTTTCATCTTTGGCCCTGGAATGTAGATTCAGGATTTTAGGGCTTTATCTTACCGAGAAAGATGGGAGACCAGAGACCTGTACGGGATGAGGGGCAGAGACTCAGGGCTCTGCCGTCAGCACCTTCACCTCTGCATGTGTTGAGTCTCTCCCATGTTGTTCCAGCTCAGGTCCCTGCAGTGGTGACGGGATCCTGGCTCTTCATTTCTGAATTACGTTGTGTGTGTGGATTTACTGGTGTGTGTGTATATCAAATAAACTTGGTAGGGCCATCAAAAAATATTTATATCTGAAAATAAACCTCAATAGATGGTTTACATATCACACTCAGTGGATGAGAGTATTATAAACCAGAAGGCAAATTAATAGAAAATGTTCAAACTGAAGCACAGAAGGAAAAAGAAACTGAATCAGAAAGGAGCATAAAACACATTTGGGATCTGGTCAAAAGAGACAATCTGAATTCTGGAAGAAGAGCGAAAGTTGGTCATAAACTGTATGGCTAAGGTGCCAGGCACATCCACCAGAGCCCGTGGGTTCGAATCCAGCCCAGGCCTGCCAAACAACAATGATGGCTGCAACTAAAAAATAGCCAGGCGTGTCCGGGGTGCCTGTGGTCCCAGCTACTTGGAAGGCTGAGGCAAGAGAATTGCTTAAGTCTAGGAGTTTGAGGTTGCTGTGAGCACTAGGAGTTTGAGGTTGCTGTGAGCACTCTACCCAGGGTGATAGCTTGAGGCTCTGTCTCAAAACAAAACAAAACAAAACAAAAAAAAAACTCATGAAAGTATCAGAACATCAGCCTACAAAAGACAGAAGTGTTGTCAGCCTCAGAGAGGCGTATAGTCTAAGAGAACCACTCTGTGTCAATAATGAAATGACGTCTTAAATTTCCAACTGTGCCAACCTAGAATTCTATACTCAGGGAAAACATTCTTTTGAAGTTAAGACAAAATAAAAATAGAGAAACAGAAGTTGAGAGAATTTATTACTAGCAGGCTTTAATGAAGAAGGTATCATGAAGGATTTCCCTTAGGTGGAAAGAAAATTGTCCTAGCAGGAAATAGGGAAGTGAGAAGAGGATAAGATATATAAAGTATAGCTCCAAACTGATTGATCAAAACAGTGTTGGTAATTTTCATATGTAGGATTGAAATATAGGATTTTACATATATAGGATTGAAATGTAAGACGATAAAAATGCAAGCCAGGGAGGACTTACATAGAGTTAAAATATTCTGGTGCTCTATGATTAATGGTGATGTCAAATTTGCATTAGATCATAATCAAGGATGCATGTTATAATCTCTAGTGTAACAACCGACATGATAGTGAAAGAATGCATATCTAGTGAGTTAAGAAAACTGTAAACTAATAAAAATAGTTGGTGAATCCAAAAGAAAAGAAATATGTACAAAAAATAAATGTATCAATAGAAAACAGTAAGATGATACATATAAACCCAAATATATAAGTGAGTAAATTAAATACAAATGGATTAATTAAGTCTGGTAAAAGTATAAGGTTCTCAGACTTCATTAAAAAGAACCACCACCACCACATGTAGCTTGAAAGAGACATAGTTTAAATATAAGGATACTAAAAGGCTGAAAATAAAGGGGTGGAAAAGAAAGGTTGTGTAGTTTTAATTTCAAACAAGGCTCTAAGGCAAGCAATGTTACTGGAAAAAAGGAGGAATATTTTGTAATGCTAAAGGGGTCAATCCACTGTGAAGATGTCATGATCCTAAATCTATTTTGTCTTCTATAACATAGCTTCAAAATAGATAAAGCAAAAAACAAATCTCAAAGATACAAACATACACAAGCACAGTGTGAGACCTTAAGACACCCCTTAATCAAACAGACACAATTTTGGCAAGTGTTGAAGATCTAAAGAAAACATTTTATAAACTTGACCTAACTGTGCACCAGACAAACCCAAGAGCTCATTCTTTTCAGTTGAATATGTAACATTTGTAAAAATTGACCAAATGCTGGGCCATAAATGTAACTTTGGGAAATTTTAAAAGTTTGGACTCATTTAGAGAATTTTCTCTGACAGCAGTGGAATTCAGGTAGAAATCGGGGAGTGGGGAAGACAACTGAAAAGCCAAAACTTCCTACAAACTGTAAGTTGTGAAAGAAGCAACAGATTTAAAATATCTAAGTGTCACTGGAGATCTAACATGCCAAAAGTTTCAGGATTCTGTTTAATCCGTGCTCAAAGAAAATTTTATAGCTGCAAATACAAACTGCATATTTAGAAAACAGGAATAAGAATAAAGAAATTAAGGGTCTAAGTTTCCATCTCCAGAGAGAAAATTAAACCTAGAGGAAGTAGAAGAAATGCAGTAATAAAGGTAAGAGCAGAAACTACTGAAATTGGACTTTAGTAAAGTGACATGTAGGTCTTCAGAGAGATGAGTAAATAAACGTTTTAACAAAACTAATGTAAAAAATTGGGCAAAACCAAATGAAAAATGTTAGGTATGAAGAAGGGGAAATTTGGAGCCTGTGGGCAGTAATAAAACAGTGAGGATATTATAAATAATTTTACAAAAAAGTTTTGAGTAAAATAAACAAATTCAAAATTGATACAGGAGGACTTAGATAGTCATTATCTATTAAAATAACCCATTTTTATTAACCTGCATACAAAGAAAACCCTAGGCCCCTACAGCTTTGTTGGTGAATTCTTTAAAATACAGTTCTATGTAATAAACCCTTCCAGAGAGTGGAATCCAAGGGAAAACTTGCAAAGTCTTTTTATGAGGCCAGCATAACCTTTATGTTAAACCTGTTTAGGACAGTCTAAGAAAGGAAAATTATAGATAGATTCTTCTTATGAGCAGAGATAGCACAGGTAATGTTCACAGACATTCAAAATGGTTCATGCACTTCTCCATATAACCAGAAAAACAAATTGAAAGTTACCTGATAACAGGTAATTTTCTGTCTCCATATAAACAGCAAAAACAATTTGAAAATTACCTGATAAGGCAGGGAAGGCCTCTGCTCAATTTCACTATCCATTCATGACTAAAATTTCTTAGCAGCCTAGAAATAGAAGTGAATTCTGACTCTGATAACGAGTAGTGACAAAATAGCTGCAGCAAAAGTTATAATTTCTAGTGAAATTTTGACAGCTTTTTCCTTGAGGTTAGGACTGCCTAGGGAAAAATTTAGTGATACATGAGTCAGAACTTTAAGTAGAGAATCACAAAATATTAAAGACCCAAATATAAACCGAAGCATATACCATGTTAATGGATAGCAAGGCTGAGAATAGCCAAGACAGTCTTGGGGGAGAACAAAGCTGGAGGGCTTAGTTGTCAACTGTCAGGATGTGTTAGGGGCCGTAGTAATCACAGCATTGTATTGGGATAAATGTGGACAGATAGGATGGGACAGAATACAAAGTCTAGAAACAGACCTTTATCGGGTTGAGGACAAAGGTGACATTGC